TAAATTCACATAACATAAAATTAACCATTTCAAGTGTGAAATTCAATGGCCTTGAGTAGATTCACAGTGTTGTGCAACTGTGACATATATCAAGTTCCAGGTTTCATGACGCCAAAAGAAAAACTCCTTGCCCGTTAAGTGGTCACTCTTCATTTCCTCCTTCCCCACCCCATTACCTGGCAACCACCAATCTGCTTTCTGTCTTTATAGATTTACCCTATTCTTCACTTTTTATATAAATTGAATCAGACAACATGTGTTTTTCGTGTCTGGCTTTTTTCACTTAGCATAATGTTTTTGAGATTTATCCATATTGTAGCATGTATTAGTACTTCATTCCTATATTAGTTTTCTTGGGCTGCCATAACAAAACACAATAGACTGAGTGGTTTAAACAAAAGAAATGCATTATCTCACGGTTCTGGAGGCTGGGAATCCAAGATCAAGGTGCTGATGGGACTAGTTTCCACTGAGGTCTCTCTCCTTGCCTTGAAGATGGCTGCCCTCTTGCTGCTTCTTCACATGGCTGTCCCTCTGTGCACCCACATGCCCCTAGTATCTCTTCTTCTTCTTGTAAGGACACCAGTCATATTGGCTTAGGGCCCCATTCTAATCCACTTAATTTAGACACCTCTCTAAAGACCTTATCTGAAAATAATATAACATTCTGAGGCATTGGGGTTTGAGATTTCAATATATGAATTTCAGGGGACACAATTCAATCCATAGCAATTGCTTTTTATGGCTGAATAATATTCAATTGTAGGTATATATCACTATTTGCTGGTGGACATTTGGGTTGTTTCCACCTTTTGGCTATTGTGAATAGTGATTCTATGAACATTCAGGTACTAGTACTTGTCTGAGTACCTGTTTCCAATTCTCTTAAGTGTATACATAGGAGTGGAATTGCTGGATCATATGATAATTTTATGTTTAACTTTTTGAGGAACCACTAACTGTTTTCCACAGCAGCTGCACTATTTTACATTTTTACTAGCTATGTATGAGGGTTCCAGTTTCTCCACATCTTCACCGACAGCCCATTATCTTTCAACTCTTTAGCTCCAGTATGTCATTTCTTCCACTGAATTTCTTTACTACAATTTTATGAAAATTTCTTGTCCCTTAACTCCCTATATTCTCCCTAAAAGATTATCTCTATTTTCATTTCCTTCCATAGTCACCATGAAGCTTATCATTCATTATGTGTGACATTGGGCTTTCCAAATTTCAGTCTCCTAATCTATAAAATGGGGCTACCAATATCTCTCAGACTTGTCTTAAGAACTGAATGAGCAAATATATTTGAAATGTTTAATTCAACACAGCAACCATTCAATAAGTGGTAACAATGATGATGATTATTAAATTTCTATTTCAGCCCCTAATTTTTTTTTCTCATAAACTCTAAGCTGCCTATTAGCCATTTTCAACTTTATCCGTTCAGTTCATTCATTCACAAATATTAATCGAGTGCCTATTATATATCAGGCACCATGCTAGGCATTGATTACCTCAGTGAACAAAATAAACATATCCCCTGCTCTCATGAAGAAAAAAAGATAGGCAAATAAATGTGTGTTTACAATTTTTGATAGCTGCTATGTTGCATAGGCCACTTAAATGTAATATATCCAAAATTAAAATTATCTTCCTCTTTCTCCAAACCAGATCCTCAGACACCACCATCCACCCAGCCAACCAATTGAAAGCAGAAGTTATCTCATCTTCCTGCTCTCCACTGAGATGTCTTACCTCCCATTCTGCTCTACCCCCACCTGGCACTACCAACATCAGGCACCAAAACCCAAAAACCAAATCTTGGAAATAGATTTGGAATATTCAAAGTCACCTGAAAGAAATTTTCAAAGTTGCTGAAACTTGAAATTAGTTTGAAGTATTAACACATTTAAAGAATGTGTCAATGGAAGTTCAGACAACCCTGATCATCAATCACTTGGCAGGTTTTCAGTCTCTAACCTCACCCTTCACACAGCTGTCAAAATTATCTTTCTAGTAAGCAAATCTGAAAACATTATTCTCCCCATTTAAATCCTTTCCATGACTCTTTGTTGTCTAAACTCTGAAGCCCTTAGCATTAACATCTCTTGGACCTGGACCTCCCTTGCATTCTCCAACCCAATCTTTTACTTTGTCCCTGTTGAATCCTAGGTTTGCCCATGGCAAACCACTTGTCCTTTTCTAATGGGTGCTGTATACAGTTTCCTGTGGGGATGTTCCTGCTTGACCTACAGCCCACCTCATTGATGCCTGCTCTTCTTGCAAGACTGAAGTCAGTGTCATTTACTTTAAGGAAACTTTTCTGAACATCTGGGTAGATCTGACCTCTCCCTCCTCTAAATTGCCACATGCTTCTATCATAACATCTTTAACATTTAATTGTACTTGTGTTTATGATTTCAAAGTCCATGAGGACTGGCACCTATTTTTATTCATGTTTGTCACTCCAATTTAGGCACTTAAGAAAGCATTCAATACAATTTGTTGAATAAATGGTCTAAAGTGAATATCCTTAGTTCTACTTTTCTTAGTTCTACTTTCAACTTCTTGTCCTTTTCTGGCACATCTCCCAAATGGCCTCTCACTGGCACCTTTTTGTCATGAACTGCATTTCAGCCCTTCTTTCTGATCTGCTCTTTTCCTTTAGAAATTCTGGGCTTACTTAGTAGGCGGCCCCAAGTACATGAAACTGGCCAGCAAACAGGTCTGGGCCACGTGTCACTGCTTGAGCCAATTAAACAGAGACAAGGTTTAATTGTATATGAGTGTTTTATTCCAATAATGCTGGTAGTATAGGAGAACAGCAGGTCATCCTGTAAAATCTGCTCTAATCCCCCCACCCACCGAATGCAGTTGCTTATATAAGAGTAGAAAGACAAAGGCTACGTGGGGAAGGGCAAGTGGGCAAAAAGAAGAAAAAAAAAAATGGGTAAAATGGTTTAGAGCAAGGGGAAGGAATGCTGGCTGGGGTTTGCAAAGAATGGTTGCCAGTGCTTCCCCTCCAGGATTCCAATTCTCATCTTCCCATGATGTTAAGCAGTTCCCCCTTGTTCTCAGATAAGAATGGACAGCATTCCTGAAGTAAACTTCCAGGGCGTATAACTCCTAGCCAGGTCAGAATGTGCTTTCTTTAATCAGAATAAAGCAATCACAATTAACAGAGCAAAAATGATTAACATTTCTTATAACTATGGCTAGTGCCCGCTATGACTAATTCCCTATTATGCTATTATTCCTTCCCTGCCCCTATCAAAAACAGTCACAGAGGTGTCAAGTATGGCATAGAGAATAGTCAGTAATATTGTAATAACTATAAATGGTGTCAGATGGATACTAAAGTTATCAGGGGAATCACTTCATAAGATATTTAAATATCTAATCAGTATGTTGTACAACTCTATCGTAATATTGTATGTCAACTGTAATTGAAAAATAAATTTAAAAGCCCTGGCCAGCTTGGCTCAGCGGTTAGAGTGTCGGACCGTGGACCAGAGAGCCCCGGGTTCAGTTTCATTAAGGGCATATATCTTGGTTGCAGTTTGTCCCTGCCCCGGGTGGGGTCGTGTGGGTGGCAACCAGTGGATGTGTCTCCCTCACATCGACATTTCTCTCTCTCTCTCTTCCTCCCTCTCTCCCTCCCACTCTATCTGAAGATAAATGCAAAAATGTCCTCAGGTGAGGATAAAAAAATTAATTAATTAATTAAAAAATATATATATGGAAAAAAACAAACAAACCCACAAAACAAACAATAACTTCTCTTGGCTGATCCTCTCTCCTGTTCCTTTTTTGTCTAGAAGTGAGAGGTCTATTTAATTTCTGGTTACAACCATTGTCCTCAATTATTTATACCTTTGAACACTAATTGTAATCCTTTAAACACTAAGAGGGTTTACAATTTCCACACACATTCACAACTGTTGACATTTGCCAAGCATAAGTCTGTATCCTATTATACAGCTATATAGTTTTGCTTTATTTTAGTTTGGAGTTTTGGGAAGATTCAGGACATGTTGTGTCCTGGAATGGGAAGGAGGCAAGGACTGCACACTAATGACAATCATCAAGGTCAGTATACTGGGGATGTCAGGCATGGGATCCTGGCTCAGAATTGCAATTTAGGGAGAGTATTGTTATTCAGGACTTATTTCTAGAATGTCTGAAGAGTTAGCATACAGACAGTCTACTAAAGCCAGTCTCCAGACCCAGGCTGCCTGGGTTCTCATTTGCTGTATGACCTGGAGCAAATTACTTTACCTCCTTGTGCCTCAATTTCATTACTGGAAAATTTGAGATAAACGATAGAATTTACCTCTCAGGAGTATTTTGAGGACTGGAGAGTTAGTTCGAACAGTGGGTGAATATGTAAGTGAAGTGTAATGCTTAGATATTTTTATCCAGCCACCTTATGAGAATCTCTCTACAAAATATCGAATCAAAAATTGTATTAGGCAGTCCTAGTTATGTTCAATGTTATGTAATACCTTTTACAAATTTCCACATTCCATGTCCCGTCTCCTAAGGACAACACAACCGATTTCTTCCTGTCTCCTTCGGCTGGCTAAACCTGCCACTTTCTGTCTCGCATTTCAGCCCAGTTTAGAATTTACCCGGGAAATAATGAACCAACAGAGAGAATTTCGTTTGCTCGTTTATTTATAATTCACGCAGTCTCATTCCGATAACAAGACATCCAGCGGATGTCTTGCCCAGCGAAGGAGGAAGGAAGGGGACCGCGGTGAGGGTGAAGACAGAAGGTGGCCAGAGAAGCCACACCCGGCCTCTGCCCCTCCAGGGGCTTCCAGGACCAGCAGCCGGCTGCCCGGGGCTGCGACCGGAAGTGCGGCCCTCCGGGGGCGGGCAGAGGTGACTTAAGGCGGAGCCCGGGGCGCTGGCCAATCGGAAGCGACGGTCCCAGCAGAGAGGGCGGAAGAGAAGAGGTCTAGTTCCGGACGCGGCGGCGGCGGCCGCCGCCATCTGTCACCTCAGCTCCCGCACCACCACCAGCACCAGCACCCCGTCGCCCCTGCCCCGCTTGCTGTCTCCCCGGCGGAGGCTGCTTCCCGGTCCTGCCCTCTCTCTGCTCTGTTGTCGTTGCTGGTTTCTTCTCCCACATGGATCTGGTCGGAGTGTCATCGCCTGAACCGGGGCCGGCAACGGCTTGGGGGTCCAACAAGGTGAGTGGCCGTCGGGGCAAACACTCCTTGTTTGGTCACCTGGGCTGGACCTGTTAGAGGGCCGAGAGAGGGTGACCGGCGCCGAGGCAGCTCCGCAGGCGACCCGGGGAGTTCTGGGCGAGACCCCGGAGAGCGGGGAAGGGCTACACTGCAGGGCGGCCGGGGTGGGAGTGGAAGAGGCGAGGAGGGCCCAGGCCGCCCGAGACCTGGGGTCTTTCTCTGGGTCCGCCCCCCGCTCTCTCCAAGTCCGTAGTGTATTTGTGGGCGGGGCCGCACCGCCAGTGACGTTCGAGGGAAATCCGGCCCCGGCCTGTTTTGCACCGGCCGAGTGAGTCAGCCCAGCAACACCCAAGAAGCCGGCAGAGGTGATGTAGAAAGCTGTTTCCTTAACTTGACAAGTGTGGTTATACTACTTAGGCAATTTCTTGTTTTTTAAGTCGTGAAAGATAAATCTAGGGGCACCTTTTCTCCACCCAGGCTAATACTGAAGTGTACTCGACTTACTGTAAAAAACGGTTACGGATTCTTAGCGGCCTGGCTGTAACATTTACGCTTTTCCTATAATGGCCAACTCTTATGTTTATTTCACACCAGGTTTCCGGATTTCAGGCTGCTCCTTTTCACGATACTTTCACTAAAGGATGAAAAGGCTCTTTGCCACTTTATTGAAGGTTTGCTTGAAAATAAGAGTGCTTCAGTTGGGATTTTGTGTTCCTCAAGTTAAAGTTATGAAGGAATCCAACCTTTTTAGCTTCATAGTTCTTTATATGCCAACACAGAACTTTTCTTTTCCTGTAGAGGATCATTTGTTAAACTTATTGCATCTTCAGGCCAGATCTTAACAGAAATAGGGGGAAATAATTGGCTACTAAGTAAAAGGAAAATTAATTTCATGAAGTTGTCTCGTACAACTGTAGGGAGAATCTGAGCTGTTCTGTTGGCAATTGTGGTTACATGTACATGTTACTTTGTGTACTTTTTTCTATAACGCCATGTCTTCAAGTCCCAAGATCAATAGACAAAAAGACAAAATCAGTTGACAGATACTAATTAATATGTAGTTTGCATGTTAAATTCCTCCAGTTAAGCATCAACAACAGTTGGTGAAAATAAAACAAACTTTGCTCAGATTTCCTAAATTCAGAACAAATTTTATTTACAAAATGAATTCAATAATAAAATATTGGTGTACATTTAAATAAAAATATAACTGGTATCCATCAAGTATTATTTTTATTATGCAACAAAAATACCATCCTGGGTTTACTGGTGTTCAGTTGGGAAGATAGCATTTCATAGGCAAAAAATTTAGAAAGATGCTGCAAGTTTTACTTAATCCTTTCCTTCTCTAACTTGGAGGACCAGAGTGAATATTGAATCCTACATAGAGAGGTGGAGTTTGGGGGAAAGTCTTAAAAAATGGAAAGAATGTTAAAGGCCAGTGATTCTCAAGTTTTCAGTGGGGACTTCTTTACACTCTTAAAAATCATTGAGGACTCTGGAGAAATTTTGTTTATATTGGCTATTGCTATTGATGTTTGTCATATCGAAATTAAAACTGCAAGACTGAAAAATATTAAGTCATGTTAATATAAAAGTAATATATTTATATTAAAAATTATTTTCCAAAACAAAAAACTAGTGAAGAGAGTAATATTGTTTTACATTTTTGCAAGTCTTTTTAATGTCTGACAATAGAATACAGTTGAGCCCTGGCCAGGTTGCTCAGTTGGTCAGAGCATCGTTCCATACACCAAAAGGTTGCAGGTTTGATTCCTGTTCAGGGCACATAACATCGGTTGTGGGTCCAATCCCCAGTCGGTTGTGGGTCCAATCCCCAGTCGGGGCCTGTATGGGAGGCAACCAGTTGAATTGTCTCTCCCTCCCTTCCCCTCTACCCCCTCCCGCCCCTCCCCCTCTCCCTCCCCCACTCCCTCTCTTTCCTTTCCTTTCTCTTTCCCTTACCCTTCTTCTCTCTAAAATCAGTAGAAACATATCCTTGGGTGAGGATTAAAAAAAAAAAATAGAAGACAGCTGGATTCTCATAGCTCCTTTTTTCATTCAATCTGTTGCAATATGATTTGGTTGAAGTATATTGAAGAAAATCTAGTATCACAGATATGTAGATTATAGCAGGTATAATCAAGGATGGGTAATGAGAGCACAGTAGACATATTGAGAACAAACTGAGTTAATCTCTAAAAATCACATTTATATCCTAAACCTACTACTTTAGAAAATGTTGGAAAATGCAAGAATACACATGCACACATTCCCATAGCAATCAGAATGATGTCATGTCTGATAAAGAGTCTGGAAAACTCAACTCCACACTCTTGAGTGAATGAGTGGAAAAGACAGGGGATGTCTTAGTACTATTATGAAAATAAGTTTGACCTCACAGATACCCTGAAAGGGTCTGGGGGAAACCCCCAGGATTCTGGGCTACCATTTATAAAATGCCAAACTGCTTTATGGGCAAAGAATGTTGGGATAGTCCAAGAAGGGAGAATTGGCTAACTTGGGCAAAAGTGAGGATGTGTATACCTCTATTGGAAAGTGAGCTATAAAAAATTAGTGGTATTCCTCAAAACTATCAAGGTCATCAAAAACAAGGAAAGTAAAAAACTGAGAGCCAAGAAGAGCCTAAACAGACACAATAACTAAATGTATGGTATCCCGGATAGGATCCTGGAGTAAAAAAGGGACATTTGGGGAAAACTAAGGAAATCTGAATAAAGTATAGACATTAATTAATAATGTATAAATGTTGGTTCATTGCCCTGGCCAGTTTGGCTCAGCGGTTGGAGCGTCAGCCTGTGGTACAGAGAGACCCGGGTTCGGTTCCCGCTGAGGGCATGTACCTCGGTTGCAGTTTGTCCCTGGCCCTGGTTGGTCGTGCGGGTGGCAGCCACTCGATGTGTCCCTTCACATCGATGTTTCTCTCTCTCCCTTTCTCTCCCTCCCGCTCTATCTGAACAAAAAATGGAAAAATGTCTTTGGGTGAGGATAAAAAAAAAAAAAAAATGTTGGTTCATTAATTGTGACAAATGTACAATACTAATACAGGGAAAACTATTATAGGATATTTGGGAACTCTGTACTGTCTTTGCAATTTTTGTATAAATCTAAAACAACCCTAAAATTTAAAGTTAAAAAAACAACAACATAGCCCTTGCCAGGTAGCTCAGTTGGTTAGAACATTGTCCTGATAGGCCAACGTTTTGAGTGGAACATCAACTCAATGCTTCTCTTCCTCTAAAATCAATCAATAAAAAAAATTAAAAAAAAAAAAAATAGATTAGTGTTGTTGCATAGACCCAGATAACACTTTCCAGAGACCATGTCTTGAGAAGTAAATTTACCCACTTAAATATTCTGTCTATATTGTATCTTCTAGCTGCATGTATAGACAAGGGATCTTCCTGTGGGCTATGGTTGTCTTGATTTGCTTCAAGTTGACAACTGGATTTTTATGTGCCCACTTGTGTTTGCTGTTTTTTATTTTACTTGATTCTTTCTCTGTAGTTATCTGCAGTAAAGCTTTAAAAAGATAAAACTGGCATAAACAGCTAGGGATGCATCTTTGGGAGATGGAAAGAAAAGGGGACAGTTTCCCTCTAATCTGCAGCCAGCCAGGTTTGGGAGAATGTCTTATTAGTGATGACCGCCACTACTGAACAGAGTTCAGTGGTGGCTGTTTACCAGAGGGGAGGAAAGTCTGGTGAGTCTCAGGGCTCTTCATCAAACAGGGAAGAATGAATCAGGGAACTGGTTATGAGCTTGATGTCATTTAAAGCAGAATAACTAACTGGAAAGGATTGTGTGGGGTTTCCCATCTTGATGCAATGGGGAGTTCATGTTGATGAAGGGAGTAGTGGAAAATGATGTTGTACAACAAAGATAGAGAAGATTATGGGGGAACTCTTCTTTTTTTTTCTTTTTTTTTTTTCTTTTTTATCCTCACCCAAGAACATTTTTGTTCAGATAGAGTGAGTGGGAGGGAGAGAGAGAGAAATATCGATGTGAAAGGGACACATTGAGTGGTTGCCACCCGCAGGACCCAACCAGGGCCGGGAACAAACTGCAACCGAGGTACATGTCCCTAGCGGGAACCAAACCCAGGTCTCTCTGGACCGCAGGCCAACGCTCTAACTGCTGAGCCAAACCGGCCAGGGCAATAATTTTTTTTCTTTATTGATTTTAGAGAGAGAAGAAGGGAGAAGGAGAGAGAGATAGAAACATCGATGAGAGAGAATATCCACTGGCCGCCTCCTGCAAATCCTCTACTGGGGATCAGGCCCACAATCTGGGCATGTATCCTAATAGGGAATCAAACCGGTGACCTCTTGGTGCATGGGTCAACCCTCAACCACTGAACCACGCCAACTGGGCGGGATTTTCTTCTTTATCTTTTTAGATTTATTATTATTTTAACATTTAATAAAGTTTCTCTAATTACAAAGAGTATCTGATTTACTGAAGAGTTGTAAGGTGATGACAGAGGATTCCTCTCTATACACTCCATGGTGCTCATTCCTAGGAGGAGTCCCCAGTAAATTTTCTAGGCCCCCCTTGGGGTGGTAAACCTCTTGTGTCTATGGTGCATTGTCCCTTACCCAGCTTGAAATGTTTTATGGAGAGCTTCTGACTACAGGTTTGAAGAGTTTGGATTTGGTCCAAATATGGGAGTTGGCAACCTTTCAGAAGTCTTGACCAATTTATTACCCTCATCAGAGGAAGGCGGCCTAGCTGAGCTGGTTAGCAGACGTACCAGGAAGTACATCTCTAGAGTCTGAGGCTCTGAGGAGCAAGAGCAGTGGGAGTGGGCAGGGTGCCTTGGTGCCCACTGTGCTCTCTGCATGTTCCCTTTCTGATTCAATCTGTTTGGGGAATAGGTAAATCTCTGCCTCAAAATTAACGGTTAACTGCCGCCCATTTATATCTCTTCTAAAGAAATAAGCTAAATTTTACATATTAGTGGAATTAATTGACCTTGGCAAAAGACTAGAAAATCAGAAGTGGATGGGCAGAGGGTCCAACTTCAAGAGGAAAAAAGAACCTTAGTAGGCGTGTAGAAAGGCAACAGACCTCTACAGCCTAGGGGCAACCTGCCAGTTTTGTGGAATATCTCCCGTGTTTCCTTTTGGCACATATTCAGTAAACACTTGAGTGCCTCTTTATGTCTGAAGCTCCATGCTGGGCTCTGAGAATGAAAACACCCTGCCTTTCAAGAGGCTACTGCTATATTGTGGTTGATGCAGTAACTGATACAGTGATTGGTCCTGCTCACACAGTACACAGTGGTATAGGAACACAAAGAAACGGGTGGACATTAAGACAGCCTTAAGGAGGAGGTGTAATTTAATTGGGAGAAATAGATATGGAGGAAAAAGCATCAGGAGAGAAGAGCATGTGTGAAGGTGTGGAAGGACATATAATTAAGTGTTGCTTGAGTGTAGGGTAATGAGGGTAATTGAGACTGGAAAGTTAAATTAGATCAAGTTTTGAAGGACATTTATTGCTGAGGAATTTGGATTTTAGACTGCAGACAGTATAGTACAGCAGTTTGCTTCTCATATCCCAAGGCAAGGTGATTAGGGAAGCAGTATAGCAAAATACTAAGAATGCAGTCACTTAAATCCTACTGCCTTGGTTCAGATCTCAGCACTTCCATCTACAAAAAAAGTTTCTGTGTCTCAGTTTCTAAATCTATAAAATAGGGGTAGTATTGCAACTGATCAATTGTTGTGTGACTTTAATCTGTATAAGTTATGTATATTTAGCCAAGTGACTCAAATATAGTGAGTCACTGCCTTTTATTTTACTATTAGTCATTGCAGAATGTGATTGACAATTCTGAGTTAGAGAATACAATCTTTTACCTTTTGGAACCTGGACTTTGAAACTGATCAGACCAAACATTTCTAGGTAGCATTATGTCTTCTACCTAGAGGATTTAGAAGGAAGTCAGCAGAGTCATGTGGCCAAAAGATTAGCTATATTCTCCAGATTACAGAGAGCTTCAAGATTCTAGACCTCAAAATTCACACCAGGAGAGTGCTCAATTGCTTATAAGATCTGAGCAAATGAAGTCATTCCAGACCTTGAGGAAGCCTCCCCGTTCTCTCGAGGTCAGTTCTGCAATAGGCTAGTGTAGGTATGTGCTGAGATCTGGGTGCATCTCATCAATCTCAGGGTTAGACTAGATAAAACTTGATCCTGATTCACTTAGGCATAGTTGTCATTTATCACCCTTAAGTGCTCCACCGTAACAGTCTGAACCAAGTAAATTCCTGAACCTCAGTGCTTTGGAACCTGAGCAAGGGTCAGTTGCTCAGTTGTCCTCAGAGTCAAAAAAGCCCTTAGGCCAGCTAGAGATCCTTTACTGGCTAAACTTGATGAAACAGTTTTGTCTGGCTAAAACATGTGCTCCATTCTAAGTAAGACACTCAGTAGTTAAGGAATAAGTTTGGACTTTATCCTAAAGTCAATGGGAAACATTAAAACAAGGAAAGAGCTTTAAGTAAGGAAACTGGACCAATCAAGTCTGCATTTTAAGAAAATCATTGTGTTGGGGTGTGCTGACTAGAAACAAGCAGGAATGGAAGCAGAAAGGTTAGGAAGCTCTTATGGTAGCTTGGTGATGGGAGGATGATAGGTAGAATCTTAGAAGGAGAGCTGGGCAAGTTCAAGAGATATTTAGACATCTAACTCAATATTGATGGTTCTAATCCCTAGACTATCAAATATAATTTGCTGCTGTAAGTAAAACTTGCCCCCTCAAAGGGCTGAGATAGTGATGTCATTGAGAAAGGCTGGCTGGCTAGCCCCCTAAGAATAGTCTCACAGAATATCATTCTGCTATAGTGGTATTATTTTAAGACTATTTTTTGGCTTCTGAAGTTCAGAAAATAGTTTTTATTGTCAATTTTTTTTTTTTTTTTTTTTTTTTTTTAGCATATCCCAAGGTGTCTTGAGAGAGACTGACACATACTTTTTACATGTAGAAGAAACTGCTTAAATTAGAATGAGGTATGCCTTCCAAGTGGGCTTGAAATGTGCCAATTGGTATAGTCTGTTCCTATTAAGAGATTCTGTATGGGAAGCCAAATTATAAGCAGGAGGTTGTTTGGTGAGTATGGACTTGGAATAAGGGGCATTATATGAACTCATTGGCTGGTGGGGTGGTGCTATATCCCTTCAACTAAAAGACACATTTGCCGATTTGAGCCGGGAGATAGTTTTACTTTGGGTTGATTAAACTAATTTAGTTCTCAAAAGATAACTTTATTTCAAAGTTTGAAAGAAATTTTAATTTCATTATTATGAATTGAATTGCCTTTTTTTTTTTCTTCAATAGTGTCCGTGGGCTACCCCTCAGAACACAATATCTTGTTCTTTGGCTGATGTAATGAGTGAACAGTTGGCAAAAGAGTTGCAATTAGAAGAAGAAGCTGCCACTTTTCCTAAAGTTGTGTAAGTAAAATTCATGAATCTATTTTGTCTAGCAGCTTATTATGACAAAGTTTTAGGATTTGATTAGTGATTGTCATCACAAATGATTACGAAATACATTTAGAAAAGCAGTGCAGTAGAAAGAGCACTATACTGGGCGTCCACTGATACTTGAGTTTTGGTCCTGATTCTGTGATGAGTTTTCAGTATTATCTTAGGCAGACCATTCTGTTTCTCTGGGTTTTAGTTATTGCAACAATTGCACCAGATAGTCTCCAGATTACCAAATAATGTTTTAATCAAACATCTGTAGTTTATTTTCCTGTATAGATGTTATCTCTCCTTTGGTCAGAACACGGAACAAATGAATTCTGGGTCTTAGTGTGAAATTTATTATAGATTCTGTAGCTTTCTCTCACAGCTTTCTTAATCCCAGTTTGTGCTCACAGGTTCCTGCCATTAATCAGAGGGTGGCTGGTCAGGAGAAGGTGCTTTAGTAAAGTTTTTTCCATTGTTTCTTTAGTACAATTTTTAAGTGAAAAAGCACATCCAGCTCTCATAATTGGTAGCATCTGTTTACATAGCACAGTATATTAGTTTATATTGCCTTATTTTGAATAGTGTTGCTGAAGGACCATTTATTACTGGAGAAAACACTGATACTTCCAGTGACCTAATGCTGGCTCAGATGCTACAGATGGAATTTGACAGAGAATATGATGCACAGCTTAGGCGTGAAGAAAAAAAATTCAATGGAGATAGCAAAGGTACTCCAACCTCATTGTGACAACTGCATTGGGTGGTAGAAATACTTGTAAAGTGCTCCTCAATAAGTCTTCAACTGTTTTTTTGCCTTTTAAGTTTCCATTTCCTTTGAAAATTATCGAAAAGTGCATCCTTATGAAGACAGTGATAGCTCTGAAGATGAGGTAGACTGGCAGGATACTCGTGATGATCCCTATAGACCAGGTATTAATGCTTTTATTTGATGGAAACATAGGAAGATTAAGTTTTCCAATGAATCCTTATATTTTATATTTATCTTTGAGTTGTGTTTGGTAATTTACTGTTAGATTCAAATATCTTTTCAGACAATATTGAATTGAGTAATTTAGTTTTTGCTATTTTACATACTTGGCTTGTCTTAATTGCCTTTAGCAAAACCAGTTCCTACTCCCAAAAAGGGCTTTATTGGAAAAGGAAAAGACATCACCACCAAACATGATGAAGTAGTATGTGGGAGGAAGAATACAGCCAGAATGGAGAATGTAAGTTACAGAAAATATTATCTCTGAATTGACAATTTTATTAGAATAAGTTAAAAACATGAGATTCTAAACACAATATCTTAAATTTCTAAAAATATCTTTCATTCCTTCTAAAAATGTTTTAGATTATAATATGGCAGTATCATGAAAACTCTCAACCACTAATGAGAATATAATGTACCACAGAATAAAATTCTACAATATTAAGAAAAATAGTTTGATTTATATTGATTCTAAAATGAAGAAGTTCTTAGGAAAGTAACAATTATTTTTCAGCATTTTATTTTTCATAAACTAGCACTCCTACCCAAGAACAGGAAACAGTGGTGATTAGGGGATAAGAATGGGAGAAAGAAATAGAAATGCTTTCTACTATATCCCCTTTTATACTTTTTACATTTTTTATGTTATGCCTGAATTACTCCTGAAAAATCAGAAATAAAATGTAATTTAACATAATAGAAAAGGGGGAAAATAGCATTTTCCCTCTTTTATAAATATTTTGGTTAATATAAAATATTTAGACTTGAGGACACAAATACTTGTTAAGTAAACATATTACATTCTAGAAACAGTCCAGATTTGACTCTAGAACAGCCCTATCCAAAAGAACTTACTGGTAGAAGTGTTTTGTATCTGTGCTATTTAATATTATCCACATTTGACAACTGAAATTTTGGTGTTGTAACTGAAGAACTGAATTTTTTTTTTTTTTTAATTAATTTAACTTTAAATATCCACATGTGGCTAGTGGCTACTATATTGAACAGTGTACTTCTAGAACATAGTTGTCATGGTGTGGGCATAGTTTGCTATACTAACCCACTCCTCAGAAATAATTAATTATGAAATTATATTTCTTTGGTAAGATTTGGTGTAATCTTCAAAATATAGTGTCCTTTGAAGTAACAGCAAGGTACAAAGCATATGCTGAAATGTTTTTACACGTGATTGGATGTTTTCTGTGCATAGAATACAATAAACCTCTTCCTTTGGGTTGCAATTTCTTTTCTTTCAGTTTTTTGTTAATCCTCACCCGATAATATTTTTTAATTGATTATTTTAGATAGCATGGAAGGGAAGGAGGGAGGGGTGAAAGAGAGAGAGAGAAAGACAGACATCGCTGTCAGAGAGACACACTGACTGGTTGCCTGCCTCCCGAAGCACTCCAACTAGGGCCGGGGATCTAACCTGCAACCCAGGTGCTTGCTCTTGACTGGAACTCAAACCTGAGATGCTCTGCAGGCTGACCCTCTAACCACTGAGCAAAACCAGCCACGGCCAGTTGCAATTTCTTTTTTTTTAGTTTCTAGTTATTATTATTAAAAAAAAACTTTTTTTCTTTATTCTTTTAGAGAGAGGAAGGGAGAAGGAGAGAGAGATAGAAACATTGATGATAGAGAACATCGATTAGCCGCCGCCTGCATGCCCCCCACTGGGGATTTGGTCCACAACCTAGGCATGTGCACTGACCGGGAATCAAACCAGCGACCTCTTGGTGCATGGCTCGACGCTCAACCAGTGAATCACACTGACTGGGCTGGTTGCAACTTCTTAAATAGCCTTGCTCTCCTTTCTGTTGGATCTGTTAATGAGTCATTTTTTTTTTTTTCACTGTACTATATATGGGTTCTGCCTCCATGGCCTGATCGTCTATTGAGTAGGAAACCTGTTTCAAGTAAAGACTGATCTCCTCATTTTTTGTTTTTACTGGCCGCATTTCAAAGTATTAGTTGCTAAAACTTCTTTTTGGCAGTTTGCACCTGGGTTTCAGGTAGGAGATGGAATTGGAATGGATTTAAAACTATCAAACCATGTTTTCAATGCTTTAAAACAACATGCCTACTCAGAAGAACGTCGAAGTGCCCGCCTCCATGAGAAAAAAGAACATTCTACTGCAGTGAGTAATCTTCTATTTTTGTTTGGTTTTTCAAATCAAAGATGTAAATAAAACCCAAGTACTTTTCTTATTAGACTTTTTAGATTTTTTTTGTTGTTGAAAGTATTACAGAAGACTTTTTAGATTTAATGTAATGGTTTATTAATCACTATTTTAAAACATTTTAATGGTCATTAGTTTACATTGCATTTTAATGTTCTAAGATTTTAAAGAAATTATGACATATTTATAATAATTCACAAGTTTCTAATGCAGTGGTTCTCAACCTTCCTAATGCCGCAACCCTTTAATACAGTTCCTCATGTAGTGGTGATCCCCAACCGTAAAATTATTTTTATTGCTACTTCATAACTATGATTTTGCTACTGTTATGAATTGCCAACGCAAATGTGTGTTTTCCAGTGGTCTTAGGCGACCCCTGTGAAAAGGTTGTTCTACCCCCAAAGGGGTCGCCACCCACAGGTTGAGAACCGCTGCTCTAATGTTTTACATAAACGAAGACAATGTCTAATATCATGAGAATAAAGGTTTTTGTTGTTGTTGTTGTTAATCATTATCCGAGGATATTTTTTCATTGATTTTTAGGTATAGTGGAAGGGAGGAAGGGAGGGAGGGAGGGAGGGAGAGAGAGAGAGAGAGAGAGAGAGAGAGAGAGAGAGAGAGAGAGAAGCATCCATGTGAGAGAGACACAGTGATTGGTTGCCTTCTGCATGACCCCAGCCAGGGCCAAGGATTGAGCCTGAAACCAAGATACTGCCCTTGACTGGGAATCAAACCTGAGACCCTTTAATCCAAGGGCTGATGCTCTAACTGCTGAGCCAAACAAGCCAAGGCTAAAGTAATTTTTAAACTTTTAGAAAAACAAACTAATGGTAAGTGTACTGGGAGAACTGTTTTTTGTGTTTTTTTTTAAATAGGTTTTTATTGATTTTTTTCTAGGGAGAGGGAGATAGAAACATCACTCGGCTGCCTTCTGCACACCTCCTGCTGGGGGTCAAGTCTGAAACCCAGGCATGTGCCCTGACTGGGAATTGAACCAGAACCTCTTAGTCCATGGGAAGACATTCAATCCATTGAGCCACATCGGCCAGGCTAGATATTCATTTTCAAAGACATTAAAGTTATAGGAATAAATTGTATCTTGACACTACTCTTAAGAGTCTATTATAAGTAAATAATAAAGGTAAAATATATATATATATATTTTTTAATATTTGATAATAGAAATAGTTCAGAAAATGTTATGTGATGAACGGTTTCATTGATGGTGCTTTATCTCTTGCAGGAAAAAGCAGTCGATCCTAAGACACGTTTACTTATGTATAAAATGGTCAATTCTGGAATGTTGGAGACAATCACTGGCTGCATTAGTACAGGGAAGGAATCTGTTGTCTTTCATGCATATGGAGGGAGGTAAATGAGCAAAATATAATACCATGATATCAACAAAAGCTTAGCCCCTTTCCTCAATATGAATGGATTTACACAAAATCAAAGTTAATGCTTCTTGGAAAGCAGATTAATTTAAAAAGTGTTATTGTAGAAAATCTAGACAATATAAGAATGTAGAAAGAAAAACACAATCATCTTAATTCCACCATCCGGGGGTAATTATTAATTTTGTGTAGACTCCTTCAGTCTTTTTTCTGTGCATATACTTTCTACTTTATTGTAATCATACTATATTATACAGGCAACTGTAAGTAGCAGAGCAAAATTTGAACCTGGGTTTGTCTCAAAACCCATGTTTTTTCCACTGTGGAGCCTTTTGGTACCAGATCCAAGAGGACATGTTTCATCAGTCACTGATTCCTCCCCGTATAACTCCGATTCTTACTTTAAGAAATACCAGTTTTAAATAATGCTTATATTATTTAAGAAAATGTCTTTTAGAGATATTACGCTATTTAGATCTTACCACTTCACTTTGTTACAAGGGCTTAGATGAGTAAAGAACTGCATGAGGAAAAGAAACATTTTTAAAAGTAGAGTCTGTTTAGAGAACATTCCAGGAATATGAAATCATCTGGTTACTTACTGTTGAAATCACAGCAAGGCTTACTAGCTCAGCTATCCCTTTACCTTAACATTGTTTATAAACAAATATGTTAAAATAGATTACAGGAATTCTACTTTTTTTAGGTTTAGAAAGTTATTTACTGTGTACTTAAAGGGATTCAAATAACTGTTGGTCAAGTTCTTACCTTAGGTTTTCTTTGTCTTTTTTAAATTATTATTTTTTTTCTTATTGATTGATTTTAGAGGGGGAGGTGGGAGAGAGAGAGAGATTGTTGTTTCACTTATTTATGCATTCATTGGTTGATTCTCGTATGTGCCCTGATGGGATCTAGCCTACAAACTTGGCTTATCAGGATGATACTGAGCTACCCTGCCAGGGCAGGTTTTCTTAACTGTTTAACTAGTCTCTGTTTCTAGATGAGATATACATGTATACTTGTATATTGAATTATACTGTTAGTTCCAAAGAGAAAAGGATAAAAATTAATGTTAGAATAAAATAGTTCAACATTTTTCAAGCTGTATCATCTGGAGCAAGTTACTATATCTCATTTATAAATTGACCTTTACCTCAGGATTTTTGTGGGGATACATGAGGGTCATACTTGACAATACTTGGTATATATTAATCTTAATAAACATTTATTTCTTCCTTACTTTAAGCTTTGTTGCCCCTTTTCAAATTTAATTTGAGGGTTCCCTAAGATCAGGCAAATATAACCTAATGGCACAAATTATTTAAAATGAAAGATTACTTGTGGTAGAAATTAAAACTTTACAGGAAAAATTAAAGTGAAAAATATCTTTAATCTTACCAACTCTCACCCCACAGATCTTTTCTCTAAAGATAACTATTAAAATTTTTTACTCTGATCTTTCAGAAATTTTTATGCATATATCCCTTGGTTTTTTTTAATATAAAAGAGATTATTCTCTATGTTCAGGATCTTAGTTTTTCAGTATATATCTTAGATCCTCCTATATTACTGGCTTACACTACCCCATTTTTTATGGTAGTACATTCCATTGTGTGAATACATAGGAGTATTCTTGTATTTCTACCTTGGTGTGCTTTTGCCAGTATATCCTTAAGCTAAATTCCTAACACACACATTGCTGGGGCAAAGACTATAATGCACGCATTTGGAAAAGCTACTTGATTATATAACAGACTTTTGGCTTTAATGGACACCCCCTTGCTGGAATTAGTCCTTTATGTTGAGGATTCACTGTACTTGTAAGTTGGCAAAACTAGAGAGCATTTGGTTTTCTACAACTGAAAGTAAATGCTTTTAAAAGTTTATATTAGTTTTCTTTGCTACATAAATTACCACAGGCTTAGCAGCTTAAAAACAACACCCATTTATTATCTCATAGTTTTAGTTGATCAGAAGTTTGGGAGGGCATGGCTTAGCTGGGCTCTCTGCTCGGGGTTTCACAGGGCTGTAAAGCAGGTGTCTGCTGGGCTGTGATTCTTTCTGGAGTTTGGGTCTTGTTCCCTTGGTACAATGTAGTTCCTTCCAGCTATAGGACTGAGAGATCTCTACTTGTTGGCTGTCAGGTGGGGGCTGCTCGAAATTTCTTAGAGGCTGCTGCAGTTCCTGGTCATGTAGCCCTTTTACATAGTAGGTCACTTCTTCAAAGCCAGCAGGAGAATCTCCTTCAGTTAGCTGAAACTGAGTCTTAGATTAATGCAGTGTAATCCAGGGAATGACTGTTCCATCACCTTTGCCATATAATGTAAGCTAATGAAGGGAGTGGCTACCTACACTCAAGTGGGGGGTGGGGTTATTTAGTGTGTGTATATCTGGGCTACCTACACTCAAGGGGGGTGGGTATTATTCAGAGTGTGTACACCGAGGGCTGGGATCTTGCAAGCCATCTTAGGATTCTGCCAGCCATTTTAGGATTCTGCCTTCCACAAAGTTATTCTGGTTTCTATTGTTGGCCTCGTAATCCACAATTAATTGAATAGTAACTTGTGCTCGATTTTTCAGGGAATAAAGTATGACATGTTTTCTACTCTCAAAGAGCTTATGGTACAGCCAAGAGGAAAACGTTACAGCAAGAATTGTTATAGTCAGTAAAAGATAATTATGAAATAGGGAACACAGTTATATAAGTGAGACTTTGTAGTATGGGATAGGAATAGAGAACAGAACAACATTATTGCCAGTTGTGTTTAAGGAAGGTAGATGTACTCATGTTACAGAATTTTTATTTTGAAATTATTCTACTTGTGAGCTGACAACTTATACTGACTTAATTTTTTTTTCTTCCATTTAGCATGGAAGATGAAAAGGAACATAGTAAATTTATACCTACAGAATGTGCCATCAAGGTGTTTAAAACAACCCTTAATGAGTTCAAGAACCGTGACAAATATATAAAAGATGATTTCAGGTTTAAAGATCGTTTCAGTAAGCTAAATCCACGTAAGATCATTCGAATGTGGGCAGAAAAAGAAATGCACAATCTCACAAGGTAAAGAAAATCATTGTGCTAGAAATAATAGTGAGTAATTACCTTTTTGTATTAGGCCTGTTTAGCCAAGCAAAAAAAATCTGTGCTTTCTTTTAAATTCATTTGCAGAAATTAGGGAAGGCCTCAAAATTCTAGTGTGTGAAGAGGCTCTCTATAAGAAACATTTCCATGCATATAAGTATGAATTCATATTTTCAGGATAAATAAACCATTTTCTTTTTTCTTTCCTCAATACAGTTGCAGGGAAATAGAGTCATTTTCTGCCTAAGATTTTTTTGTCATATATCTAAGTGCTATCTTTTTTCATCCTCCAATTAGGATTTTTACATAAAATTATTTCCCTTTCTTATTTTAGAAAATGTTTATTACATGTAATATTTGTTATTTTGGTGGGGGTGGAGCCTTACCAGTCAAATTGCATTTTGCTTTAATTTATTAAACTTGCTTCTCGCCCTGGCTGGTTTGGCTCAGCGGTTGGAGCGTCGGCCTGTGGTACAGAGAGACCCGGGTTCAGTTCCCACTAAGGGCACGTACCTCGGTTGCAGTTTGTCCCCGGCCCTGGTTATTTTATTATTTTATAAAAAAATAAAATAAAATAAACTTGCTTCTCAATTCTCTAAGCAGAATTTATCAGGGAATTTGGTTTATCAACCAAGTAACTTAGTAATAATCTTTCTCATTAATAAAACTTCCCATATCTTTTTTTTTTTTTTAATCCTCACCAGAGGACATTTTTTCCATTTTTTGTTCAGATAGAGCGGGAGGGAGAGAGAGAGAGAAACATCGATGTGAAGGGACACATCTAGTGGCTGCCACCCACACGACCAACCAGGGCCGGGGACAAACTGCAACCGAGGTACGTGCCCTTAGCGGGAACTGAACCCGGCTCTCTCTGTACCGCAGGCCGACGCTCCAACCGCTGAGCCAAATCGGCCAGGGCAAAACTTCCCATATCTTAATCTTACTGGAAGCTTAATTTTAGTTTATTTTTTCTAAAGATGTTTGCTTTCAAATGTAATATTCATATTTATTTGTCGCAAAATTCCTCTATTTAGTAGGACTTCTAAGTATAGAATAATTTCCTAAGAGGTCTCCAGTCTCTTCTGTACTACTGAGATCTCACCTCTGCCTTTCTTAAAATTCTTCAGTAGCCCCAGTAGTCTTTAGTGTAAAGTTCAAAGTCTTTTTGTGATGCAGAGCCTACCTGTCTCTGCACCTGCAACCCACATTGCCTTTCCTCCTATTGAAGGTCCAGTTGTGTTGATTTATGTACATTTCCCAAATGGACTGTGCTCTTGAACGCTTCCATGCATTTCCACAAGCTGCTTCTAGCCTTAGACTAGCATCTCCCCACACTGTCTTAATTTGGCTAATTCCCATTCACCCAGTTTTCCTAAACCTTCCTTGATGTTGCATGCTCCCATAGTTCCCATCCCCACCTCTGCCAGTGCACAGACCATACTGCCCTGTAATCATCTCCTTACCTGTCTGTCGTTTCCGCCATTCCATGTGCATTCCCACATCTCCAGGACAGAACATGCAGCTCATTGCAGGCCCTTGTTAGATATTTTTTGAATAAGTAAAACATTCTCCCCTGATCTTTATATTCTTAATCACTTCTTTCTCAATAGAATGCGGAAAGCTGGAATTCCTTGTCCAGCAGTTGTGCTACTCAAGAAACACATTTTAGTTATGTCTTTTATTGGCCATGATCAAGTTCCAGCCCCCAAATTGAAAGAAGTGAAGCTCAGTAGTGAAGAAATGAAAGAAGCCTACTATCAAACTCTTCATGTAAGTTACGCCTTTCAAAGCATTCACATACCAACTTTTAAAAAATTTCTTCTAAACCTTAAAAAAGTTTCCTAAAATAGTACTCTTTGTTTTTTTTTTTTTTGTTTTTTTTTTTATCCTCACCCGAGGACATTTTTCCATTTTTTGTTCAGGTAGAGTGGGAGGGAGAGAGAGGAACAGAGAGAGAGAGAGAAACATCGATGTGAAAGGGACACATCGAGTGGCTGCCACCCGCACAACCGACCAGGGCCGGGGACAAACTGCAGCCGAGGCACGCGCCCTTAGCGGGAACCGAACCCGGGTCTCTCAGGACCGCAGGCCGACGCTCTAACTGCTGAGCCAAACTGGCCAGGGCTAAAATAGTACTCTTTTATGGTGATATAATAAGGACAACTGAAGAGTTGTCTTTGTACCACTATGTGTGTATCTTGAGTCGTTTTAGAAAAATAGGCTTATGGAGCAAGTGAAGGCTCAATTGTTAGCATCAGTGATATAGAAGCATGAAGCTATTATTCACAAAACTTATTAAATAAAATTTGACATTACTACATTTAGCAGATATAGTGCCTAATTGGTTTTTACGTCTTCTTGAATGATATTGCTCTAACTGTGAAGAAATTATCTTTCTTTTTGGGAAATTTGAAGGAAGTAGATTTGGACTCAAAGTACTGAAAACTAAGGATGGTCGGGAGTGGTTTCTCAATCTGTGCAGGTGTTAGAGTTAGGAGGCGCATGTCATGAATCTGGAGGAAGCTATTTATGCTTCAGGACAGCAACTGAATTCAGTCTGAGGTCCTTCTAACTTAAGAAAATTCTCCCAATATTGTCATGATTTTTCTGTATTTCTTTAACTGAATAGTGGAGAAATGTATGCTTTTTACACAGTCTCTGCATGGATCTCTCATGTCATTCAGCAGTTGATGTGAATACAGAAGTCTTATACAAGTTAATTTCTTAAGATCTAGCTACAGAGACAATCCAACTTTCTCTTCCTCCAGTAGGACAATATTTGAAGGAGAATCAAATTACTTTTCTGGCTTTTTTTTTTTTGTGGTGGGGTAGCTGGGGAAGGGATGAAGTAGTGATGTACTTTTTTGTTTGAATTATATTAAGACTGAGACACAAAGCATTAACACTGATTTCTACTATAAGGCTAAGGCTAAGGCTATCATCAATAATGAACATATAATACCACGTAATTTATAAGAATAACTCTTTCCTACTATGTCTGACAGGAAGTACATTTTAACCTTGGAATTATATACATCCCCTAGAGGTTTCAATGAGTCACTTGCCCTTTTATGAAGGGTAAACCTAAGTCTTCTGATTAGTGACCATGCACATGGCTGCTCTCTTACTCGTGTGGAATCCAGGTCTGCCCCTTGGCCTCCTGACCCCATTGTTATCACATGGACAAGGAAGGAGTGTCAAACACTCTTCCTCCCACTGTGTCTCACTGTTTCACCACCCTACCTTAAAACAAAGAAAGCCCAATCCTAGACTATACAAAGAAGAAGTAAGCTCTTTAACCTAGTCTTAATTTTTCTGGATACTGTTGGTTAGCATAGACATTTTAGTTGTACTGGTAAATTAGAATGACTGCATTTCCTAAATGTCTGCCTTGCCTCCTCACAGTTGATGCAGCAGTTATATAATGAATGCACGCTTGTACATGCTGACCTCAGTGAATATAACATGCTGTGGCATGCTGGGAAGGTGAGAATGTTTTGTTAATATTCAGATTAAATGACTTGATGTAAATTGCTGAAGGTTAATCAATATGCTCTATATTTAAATAGGTTTGGTTGATTGATGTCAGTCAGTCTGTAGAACCAACGCATCCTCATGGCCTGGAGTTCTTGTTCCGTGACTGTAGGAATGTCTCACAGGTAGGCATGTAAACTAATAATGGTTTTTTAAATAGGATATAAGAGATTTATATATTTTTCTCACTCCTAACGTAAGTAAGATGTTCTTAGAAATTGAAGGAAGGGTTTGGTTACTGGGTGCCTTCAAGATAGAGATATGAAGATCAATTTGTCAGATTTTATTTTCAGCAAGAATTTGCGTGCCTCACATTCAGGCCTTTGAATTAAATTTCCAATAGAGTAAGTTTTTATTTTGGCTCCAAATGTTTAAACAGTCCAGTAGGCACTTAATACATACCCAGTCCTTAAAGAGAGGACTGCATGCTTACTGTCATCGTTATTACCATTAAAAGGACAATAGTCATACGGGTACAGTATCTGATCATTGTTTCTCTGAGGCATAGTAGACAGATTAGGGAAGGTAAAACTTAGTAATCACAGAGTTGGGACACATTTGTTTGCTGTTTCTAAAGGAAATGAATTGTTAGTAACAGATTCAGGTAGTAATGATCTTTCTGAATGATGGAATAACTTCATATTGGAAATTACTTCTCTGCCTGTTTGACAGTTTTATTCATGGGACTTAGTGAATGTTTTGAGTCTACACATTCAAAGCAATGCCAAACAGTTTTAGAAACCATTCATTTTTATAGCTTTAGAAGGTACAAACGTAATCCAGCTGTAGACTGTGACAGACTTAACTCAGAAAACGGCGTGGATGTGTAAGAGAGGACAAAGAACAAGTAGAACCTGAACACAATTAAACTTGAAGTGGGAAAATCTGTGGTTTAAAAGTCGTGGGAGGAATTCAGTGGTGTCCTATCAAGTACACAATTCCATTTTTAGAGAACCTTGCTAATATTTCTTACTGACTTTATTTTTCTTTTACTAGTTTTTCCAGAAAGGAGGAGTAAAGGAAGCCCTTAATGAACGAGAACTCTTCAATGCTGTTTCAGGGTTAAACATCTCAGCAGATAATGAAGCTGATTTCTTAGCTGAGGTAAGCTTAGCTGTTTTCACATTGCTGATAATTGAGGACTGGGTATAGTAGATAACTGAAACCCAGAGCTAATTTTATCCTCCCTCCCCTCAAAAACAAAATTAATTTGTGATTTGTTTTTTTTCTGGAGATATTTTTAATCCTTTCTAGGCTTAAACACTAAGATAGACATAGCAAAACACCCCTTCAAGGAGTTTACAGTTTGGTTGAGACAACCAAATAACACATTTCCAGTACACTGTATTTCCCCTTTTTTGTGACGTTAACTGGTGAACACTCTGGGTGACACAGAAATTAGTGGCACATGGTCCTGCTTTTAACTGGAAATACAAAGTTAGCAGTGGCCATTCTCAGAAATACCCAGTCATTACAACATGGATCTATAGAACTATAAAAAAATCTCCCTTAGGGTTCTGTCAAAATTGAACAAAAACTAGCCCTGGCCAGTTTGGTTCAGCCATTGGAGCATTGGCCTGTGGACCAGAGAGTCCTGGGTTCGGTTCCCGCTAGGGGCACGTACCAAAAAAAAAAAAAAAAAATTGAACAAAAACTAAAAAGTGAAACAGCAGCTAATGATTCCCAACAATATACCGAAGCAGAGAAGAGAATAGTTGTTAGGGAGTTTGTTCCAGAACTCCCTATATGACTTGAATTTGGAAAGCTGAAGTCTAAGGCCAGAGGAGAAGTACTAAAAAGATGGTAAATCTAGCTTCTAGCTCAGTACAGTTGCTAAGTAGATGTCACTATTGTTGAATGAATGCTAGAAAAATCCTTTTTCCTGTTCCCTGAAAGCTTTATTTCTTTATTTTTGAAATTTTTTTCCTTATTGTTTAGAGAGAGGGAGAGGGAGAGAGAGATGGAAACATCGATGAGAGAGAACATCGATTGGCCGCCTCCTGCATGCCCCCCATTAGGGATTTGGCCCACAACTTGGGCATGTGCCCTGACTGGGAATTGAACTGGCGACCTCTTGGTGCATGGGTCGATGCTCCACTACTGAGCCACACCGGCTTGGCATAGGTATAAATTTTTTTTTAATCTTCACCCAAGGATATTTTTATAGAGTGGGAGGGAGGGAGGGAGGGAGAGAGGAACATCGATGTGGGAGAGACACATCGACTAGTTGCCTCCCACACGAGCGGACCAGAGCCAGGGACAAACTGCAACCAAGGTATATGCCCTTGACCAGAATTGAACTCAAGACTCTTTGGTCTTTGGGCCGATGCTCTAATTGCTGAGCCAAACCTGCCAGGCCCCTGAAAACTTTATAGAGTATACCGTAAGACATATTCCTGATTCCAATTGCTAACTTGATAAAGATGACTAAATATTGATAATCAAGTAAAAAACATACATGCGTCATGCTGTAATATATGTATGTGGCATATTATAATACGTGTCATATACTGTAATTCTAATTCAAGGCCAGCATCATTTGGAATGACCTCATTTTAAGAGAGTAAACATACTGACTCAATCTGAAGTATGGATTCTGTGAAATAGGATTTTGACAAATGGATTCAATTTTAAATGGTATTAAATTTTGTAGATAGAAGCTTTGGAGAAAACGAATGAAGATCATGTTCAGAAGAATGGAAGGAAAGCTGCTTCATTTTTGAAAGATGATGAAGGTCCTCCAGTTCGATATGATGAATAGCACCAATACCCACTGCTTTCATTGTTAACACAGCAGTGATTGCCGGCTGCCAATGCCAAATTAAGTTATGGGTGACTTGAAATACCAAACACAAGGAGTGTACAATGGTGCTTCTGTGCTTTTCCCCCCTTGTAACCCATATGCCAGATGTGTGGAATTTTTAGCTCAGCATTGAGAGAATAAAATGTCACTACCTCTCATCTTATGAACAGGATAATATAATTCTTTAATAGCTACAGGTTATCTAGTTGAAATTGACCTGATTTTACAGGATTCGTGGTATAAAATGTTTGGATGATAATTTTTTAAAACTTAGGTAACATTTCCAGATATGGGAGGAAAGGTCTTGCTGTGATCACCTCCCTGTTTAGTGTTTCATCTTCCCTTAAATATATTATTGGCCTGAAATTAGCCCTTCTCAATTCTTTTTCCAAAATGTAACCGTGATTCTAAAGGAAAATATCTTCTTTTAATTGGTGTTATAAATGGAAATCTGGTTTCAGAAAGGCTAATGAAAATAGATAAAAGCAAAATACTTCTTATTGGTACATCATGATTATAAGCTGAGTTCTTTTCCATGTTCATATCCAAGAAAAGGCATTGTAGGTTTCTAAAAGAGAGAAATATATAAGAACTAAACCATCCACATTTTTTAAAATTAGCTTTTAACATATTTAGGTGAAATGGATAGAATGTAACTCGGGGTGCAGCTGCTCTGCATTTGTAATGAAAATGTAAGTTATCTGGAAGGGCAGAATATAAGATTTAACCCCATTTAACATTTTTAATGAAGTCAATGATACAAAGTTTACATTTCACTCATACTATATACTTATTTATTTTGAGAGAAATATAGCAAGTCAGGTGATGAACACTAACTTTGAAACAAGTTGAGTACCAAATTAACCATCTAATTTGAACTATCTGACCTCATTTTTAATATTTTTCAGTACTTGCTAGATGCCACTTAAATAAAGCAAGCACTGTACTAGAAAAGTACATTGGTTTTGTTAGGATTGAAGTTCATTAACTACAGTGTAATCATTCCTCCTATTACTGACTTCAGATCAGAACCACTAGAGACAATCTGCTAATAGGAAGTAAAAATCTAAATATTATTTACACTCAAAAGTTTCTCCTTTAACATTATTTTAAAATGCCAAATATGTTCTTTCTAGAAAAAATATTTATTTTTGTTTCTGTTGTATAGTTTTTAGAGAAGTGTGATTGGGGATAGATACTACATTTCTGAAATGTTTACTATGAAACAGATTTAAATAACTGGTGATTATTGGATTTACAGAAAGTCCAGAGACCTAATTTTTAAAAACCATTAACCACTTTAAAAATTTTTTGTTTTGTTTTATGACATACTCTGTTTGACTAAGAGCAGCAAACCATTGCTGAATGGCATCCTTGGAGTGTGCTGTGAACATGCTTTTTAAGAAATTAAAAAAATGAAGAGATCATTTTAGAACTGGTTCTTTGTGTGGTTTCTTCCTGTTCCTTATATTAACGTATGTCATGGCACCAAGTTACCCCATCTACATAAAATCTAGTAGTACCTTTTTTTTTTAATCCTCACCCGAGGATATTTTTCCATTGATTTTCAGATAGAGTGGGAGGGAGGGAGGGGGAGAGAGAGAAAGAGAGACAGAGAAACATTGATGTGAGAGAGACACATCGATTGGTTGTCTCCCGCACAACCATGACCAAGGCTGGGGATCGAACCACAACCAGGGTACATACCCTTGACAGGAATCAAACCTGCGACTCTTTGGTCCTTGGGCTGACGCTCTAACCACTGAACCCAATTGGCCAGGGCTGGCAGTACTATTTTAAGCAGTACCTCCCCCCTCAAATTCTCATATTTAGATTTCACTTTTAAGTGACTTTAAAGATAGGGCCCATGCAGGAGGCAGCCTATCTGTGATTGCTTTCACATCGATGTTTCTCTCAAAAAAATAAAAGGGGAGGAAAAGATGGTGGACAGGCAGGACCAGAGCGTGGGTGAGTGTGTAAGAGTGTGAGAGAGAGTGTGAGTGAATGTGAGCGTGGACAACCAACCTTGAGCAGTGCAGAGACACAGGGCAGAAGGTTCCTGTGCTGTGGACAGAAAGCAGCTGGCTACCGTGGTAAGTAGCGGCACGTCAGTGAACTTTTCCCTGCGCAGTGGCCAGGAGGCCTCGCCATTTTGAAGGATCCTGGGTCTTCCCTGGGAGGAGGAAATGAAGTGGCTGGGGCCAAGCGACCTGAGTCCACTAGAGCGCCCTGCACCACCCGTCCAGTGGTCTCAGCTGTGTTGGCACGGTCAGCACACTGTAGGTGCCTGCAACAGTAGCTGAAACCGTTGGGGAGCCGGAGCCCCACCCCCAACAGCAGCAATGGCTCGCCCAGGCCCACAGCAGCATGGTGGCTGCAGAGTCCAGGCCCGCGATGGCATGGCAGCCAGCCCAGGCTCCAGGCCCACCCAGGCTCATAGGGGCACTAGCACCAGCTTGGGAGCCCGGCACCTCCCTCCACAGCAACAGTGACTGGGCGAGAGTAGAGCCCCACTCCAAACAAGCATTAGCAGCTCAGATCGGCAGCTGAAACCATCCCCAGCAGCATCAGCAAAGGCTGATCAGGAGTGGTGCCCCAGCCCAAGCAGCAGGGCTAGCGCAGCTGAGACCTGCCCCTGACAACTGCAGCAGTGGAGTTGGAGTGGAGCCACTCCCCCTAGCAGCAGCAAAATCCCAGGTGCAGAGCATTCTTAGCCCCCAACAGCAGTCAAGTATTGGGACCTGAGAGCATTCCCTGGCAGCAGCAGCAGCAGCAGCGGCAGCTGCAGTGTGAATTGGGAGCTGACACTTGCCCCCAGCAGGGACTGATCAGGAGCTAAGCCCCACCATGCATCAAGGTTCCCCAACAGCACACCAGCAGGACCCACGCACCACAGCAGTGTACCAGAGGGACCCACGAACCCCATAAGTGCACCAGTGGAACCCACACACCCCAACAGCATACTAGTGGAACCTCTCGCACCCTAGCAACATACCAGCGGGTCCCACACACCCCAGTAGAGCACCAGATGGACCTGTGCAACCCACGCAGCAGCAGCATGTATCAGCAGCTAAGACCCATCCCCAGCAGCATCAGCAGAAGCTGATTAAGAGCGGTGCCCCAGCCCAAGCAGCAGTGAGTCTCAAGGAGCTGAGACCTGCACGACAGACCAATTCCAGCCACCAGTTATCAACCCACCAGGACTCAGCAGGCAAAAGGTGCCATACACCAAAACAGGCTGGAAGGCACAGCAGCCTTAGTTGATACACACAAACCTGCCTACACATTCCAACAATCCCCACTGGGCTTAGAACTACCAGATTGCTAAAATCGTGAGACAAAGAAACAACACCCACATGAGAAACAACACCCACATGGAAAAAAAAAGAAGAATCACCAGAAAAGGAGCTACAGGAACTACAAGAAAGCAACTTATCAGATAAAGAATTCAAAGCAATGATTATAAGGGTGTTCAAACAATTTGGTGAGAACTACAAGCAACTTAATAAGAATTATGAAGAGCTCACTGGGAACTACTTCAGCTTAAAAAAAGAGGTAGAAACTATGCATAGAAATCAAGAAAAAATAATGACATAGCTGTTATGAAAAATATCTTAGAAGCGTTCAGTAGAAGAAGCTGAAGACTGAATCAGCAACTTAGAAGACAAGATAGAAAAAAACACCCAAGTGGAGCAGCAAATGAGGGAATAAATTAAAAAGCAGGAGGAGAGTTTAAGGGAGCTGTGGGATAATACAAAACATAACAACATTCTCATTATAGGTGTACCGGAAGGAGAAGAATCATAGAAAGGAATAGAGAACCTGTTTGAAGAAATAATGACAGAAAACTTCCCTAAACTGGTGAAGGAAAAAGTCACACAAGTCCAGAAAACACAGAGAATCCCAAGCAAGATGAACCCCAAAAGACCCACAGCTAGACACATCATAATAAAAATGGCAAATATTAAAGACAAAGAAAAAATCTTAAAGGAAGCGAGAGATAGAAAGTTACCTAAAAGGGGGATCCCATTAGACTGACAGCTGATTTCTCAATAGAAACGCTGCAGGCCAGAAGGGAGTATACAAAGTAATGCAAGGCAAGGGTCTGAATCCAAGACTATCCAGCAAGACTATCATTCAAAATTGAAAAAGAAATAAAGAGCTTAACAGATTAAAAAAAAAAAAGGCTAAAGGAATTCACCACCACCAAACCAGCACTACAAGAAATTCTGAAGGGACTCTTATAAGAAGAAGAAACAGAGAGAGGAAAAAAAGAACACAGGCATAATATAAAAATGGCAACTAATAACTATGAATAATAACCTTAAATGTAAGTGGCTTAAATGCTCCAATCAAAAGACATAGGGTAGCTGATTGGATAACAAAATACAACCCATATATATGCTGTCTACAAGAGACTCACCTCACAACAAAAGAGGCACAGGATAAAAGTGAAGAGATGGAAAAAAAATTTCCAAGCAAATGGAAATGAAAGAAAAGCTGGTGTAGTAATACTCATCTCTGACAAAATAGACTTCAAAACGAGGGCCATAATAAGAGACAAAGAAGGTCACTACATAATATTAAAAGGATCGATCCAACAAGAGGATATAACCCTGGTAAACATATATGCACCAAATATGGGAACACTAAAATACATTAAAAAACTTCTGGCCCATTTATCTTTAAAACTATCACTTTTGGAAGATGGCAGCGGGCAGGACCGGAGGGAGGGTGAGTGTGTGAGAGAGTGAGCGAGTGTGTGAGAAAGTGTGAGTGGACATGAAGGTGGACTACCAAACCCAATCAGTGCAGAGACACGGAGCAGAAGGTTCCTGTGCTGTGGATGGAGCAGCTGGCTACTGCAGTAAGCAGCCCTTCAGGGCGCTTCTCCCTGCACCATGGGGAGGACCCACCATTTTGGAAGATCCTGGGTCTTCCCTGGGAGGAGGCAGTGGGAGCGGCTAGGGCTCAGCAACCTGAGCCCACCAGCGCATCTGGTACCATCGGACCAGTGGACACTCTGTAGCAGCCTGATCAGAGTCAAGATATACCCCCAGCAACAGAGGCTGGGGAGCAGACATCCATCCCCAGGCAACAGAAGCACAGACCAGCAGCTGAAACCCATCCCCAAAACTACAGCAAAAGCTGAGCAGGAGTTGAGCCCCACGGGGCAGCAGCACTCCCCAGCCGCCAGCTTCGGGACCTGGGGCTCCACAGAGGCCTGTGCGGTCCAATAGCCCACAAGAGCAGTGGGAAGCCGGAGCCCAAGAGAAACAGTGCAATCCAGCTGCCCGCCCGCAGGACCTGCAGGGTGTGGGGACACCAGAGAGGCCTGTGCGACCCAGCCGGGACTACACAATCTAGTTACCCACGGGGCCTGTGGGGTGCTGCAGCACCAGAGAGGCCTGCGGAACCCAGAAGGGATTGTGCCCTCCAGTTACCCACAGGACCTATGGGGTGCTGAAGCACTAGAGAGGCCTGTGCGACTTAGCAGCCCATTACATAGGCATAGAGCCGGGTCTCCAAAGAAACTGTGTGATCCAGTTACCTGTGGGACCTGCAGGGTGCTGGGGCACCAGGAAGGCCTGTGCTACCCAGCTGCTTACAAGATAGGCATAGAGGATGTGAAAAATGGAGGCGGAGTGAATAGAAGCTATGCAGACAATCTCCCAGGACCAAACAAGAATTACAACTAAAATAAAGACAAATCCTCAGGAAAAAAAGCAACAGAAAAGCAGCAGGACAGAACCATATAACCAGGGATACTGGTAGGATCTATGGAGACGCAAGAGGGTGGCGGGTTGGGAGCCCACGGACAGCAGCAGTCTTAGCTGTGGGCAGCACCCTTGGTGAATAAAGACCAAGCCTGCTCCACAGTGCAGAGAGCCAGGACAGAGGCTAAAATAGCCACAGCCACTCTCCTGGGGGCTATGGCA